AATGCTGCTACTCTTTTTGGGCTGTCCACTGAAATAACAGGAGGAGGAAATTATTGCTTTGGAAAAGGTGATAAAAGGCAGCCAAGATGATAGACTTTTGAGAATTGTTATCTGAAGTGAATAATAGGTATTTCTGAAAGGGGGGATTGATGAAACTGAGAGCTGCACTTTCTGAAGCAGCAGCCGCATATTAAAAGCTATAGGACAAATTAATCCCTGGCAAATTAGGAGGTAATGGAGAATACTGGTAGAATATGTGTATTATGCAAAGGTCAGTACAAGTGTCAGTTGGTACTGAGGAAGGCGATGGTATAAATTAGCAATAAGAGAAACAAAATTAATATATGGGGATGGAAGACTAGAGCAGTACAAACAGGAATGTGGGATTAAAGTGAATTATGAGAAAGGCAGGCACATTTACCTTTTCTGTGCCAGAGCTGATTAATATTTGTTTCTCTGCTCCTGTCACATAAAATTGAAAACAGTTTAAGATTTAATTGCCACCAACAGAGCGGAGGAAAAACAGGTTGTTGATTTGTTGTTGTTTTTTTAAAGGTAGCTGCTGAGATAAAAGGGCCACTGTATTTTCCACTTTCAGCATTCTGCTGCGGTTCTAAACAATTAAAATCAGTTCTATAAAAAACTACTGACATGCAGGCCAATCCAGAGCCAGTTCTTTGTTTCCTTCTCATCAGCTCTATTAACCAGTCACGGCCACAGAGAATGCAAACCACACAGTGGCTACGTCTACATTGGCCCCTATTCCGTAATAGGGATGGTAATGTAGCACTTTGGAATAGGCAAATCCGCGGGGGATTTAAATATCCCCCGCGGGATTTGCATTTTCATGGCTGCCGCTTTTTTCCGGCTTGTAGATAAGCCGGAGAAAAGCGCCAGTCTGGACGCGATCCTCCGGAAAATAAGCTCTTTTCCAGAGGATCTCTTATTCCTACTTTCAAGGGATTTGTCTACATTGTCTACATTGTCCTTTCAAGTAGGAATAAGAGATCCTCCGGAAAAGAGCTTATTTTCCGGAGGATCGCGTCCAGACTGGCGCTTTTCTCCGGCTTATCTACAAGCCGGAAAAAAGCGGCAGCCATGAAAATGCAAATCCCGCGGGGGATATTTAAATCCCCCGCGGATTTGCCTATTCCAAAGTGCTACATTACCATCCCTATTACGGAATAGGGGCCAATGTAGACACAGCCAGTGTCTTTAAGAGCATGAAATGCAATGTGTTTGTAGCAGTAAGGGGACAGGGAGCCATTCCCTGAAATGAGATATGTTAGTAAACATAGCCATTGTACTGGCAAAACAAGCATGGATTAATGGGTCTCTTCTGGTTAAGTTTACTTGATGTTTCCTTAGTATTTATGTAATATTAGATCTCTGATATTTGTACAATATTGACGACACCTATGAGTTTATTTTCCATCCAACATTTTAGATTGACAAACAGTGCCCCAGGACTCATGGCTAACTGTTCAAGTTGTCATTCAAGCACAATTAGTTTGATTTCCAATACTTTGCCTGCTAGTCCTGTGATTTAGACCTTAGTACCTAGAATCTGAATGTTCAATTAGCTATGGCAACTGTGGAACACCGATTCTAAGGGCTTAATGATAGACTATAGAAATGTCACGGCAAAGACCTGATATTAGATGCATATTGCCAGTTTGGGTTGAATGATTTCATGACACACTGTAAGGGAGAATTACGTTTGCATAAAATCTATTGTAAATACATTTCAACACTGTAATAACAAACTATTAAAAAACCTCCAACTATTCCTCATTGCACATGGAAGGTGCTCTGAAAGTTTAGCTTGAAAGCTATGTAATCATGTAATATTTTTCTTGTTCTTTATATCGCTGTTGCAATGTAATAGTGGCTGTTTATGATGTTCCATAGTCTGTGATCTATTTTGTGTGAGGTGGTGTTATCCTACAATAAAACACCCTAACGGAGCCTCAGGCTGTTTCTTAAATACATATTTAAAGCTATCAGTCCATGCTGTCTTACTGCAATGTACATGCTGTCATACTTGCAGTAGCTGGTTGTGCTCAGGGAGCCACAACCAACTTGCCTTGCTCTGGAGCTGGCATCAGCTGAAGGTAAGGAAGTGGGGTGGATTTTCCAGTGGTCTAGTGCAGGGATTCTCAAACTTTCTGACACGGGGACCGGGAAATCCATTCACGAGCTTTTGGAGGACCGGTAACATTCATTTACATATTTGCATATTCATTAAGCAAATTATGAATATTCAAATAAGTTGTTTCCGATCCTCCCAAAGCCCGCAGTGCCAGTGTTAGCAAAGCTTTTGCTACAGTCACCAACAATATTCTTGCCAGCAAGTTAAGGGAATATGGATTGGATAAATGGACTGTAAGAGGGATAGAAAGCTGGCTAGATCAGGGTTTCCCAAACTTTTTACTTTAGTTGGAGCACTTTTTTTTTTCAGTACTGTTTTTTGAAGCCCAAAAATATAAACACATATAAAAAAAAAGAATGAAAACTGAATAAATTTTCAGTGTTTCACGCAGCTGCATCCTCTACCCAGCCTGAGCCAGTGCTTGGGGGACCCGGCGCCGCATGGGCACTCCAGGAGGCGGGAGCAGGAGCAGATTGGGGGTAGGGTATCTGGCTAGGAGGGAGGGTGCAAGGAGGGGTAAGGTTGTCAGGTGTCCGGTTTTGTACCAGACAGTCCGGTATTTGAGGGTTTTGTCCGGGAAACAAATTAAGAAATTACCAGACATATAAAATGTCTGGTATTTTCTAATTAGGTAAATTTTATTATTATTAGGTGTATCAGTCCTTAGCCACGAACTTCCTGGCTGGTAGATGTGCTCACGCTGCCTGAGTGTGTTTACCTGCCAGGCAATTCACACAAGTGAGTCTGGTTGGGGCACAATGGAATCCCTGGCCAGACTCACTCGTCTGCCAGGGTCTATAGGTGCCCAGGTCAGTCCCGCTCTCCCCACCTTCTCCTCCCGCTCTCCTCAGTCCAGTCCTGCTTCCAGCAGCTGGTTCCTTCTGCCCCCCACCAATCTCCCCCAGTCAGCCCTGCTCCCCCAACTACCTCCCCACCAGCCTTGCTGCCCCTGTCCAGCCCTGCTTCCCCCATCCTCCTCCCTGCCTAGCCCTGGTTCAGCTGCCTGCCCTCCCCAATCTCCACCAGACAGCCCCACTACCTTCAACCCTGCTTCTACTGCCTGCCCACCCTGATCTCCGTGGGACAGCCCTGCTTCCCGGAAGCCAGTTCCCCTCATCCCACCTCCTCTGTCCCCCTCCCGGTAGCCACACTGAGGCCTGGCATTTTTTTCCCCAGCCACAGCCCATTGTTTGGGAAACACTGGTCTAATGGATAAGGCATCAACCTCTGCAGTCTGTGGTTGTGAGTCCTTCTCCTCTGGAGCAGGCAGATTTGAACATGGGACTTCTGGAGCTTAGTATAGGAGCCTCTACAGCCTGAGCTATAAAGCCAGCTGGCTCTGAGCGCCTGCTTTAGAGCAGGGCTACTAACATGCGGCCCCGCGAGTCGCATGCGGCCCGTAGTGCGGCTTGGGTTTACGCGGGACTCAACATGTGGCCTGCGGGTGGGAACCAAATCAAAAAAGTAGTCAATACACTGGTCTTCTTTTGATATGCGTTTTACATAAAAATTGAATCACACAGGCACAAAATGAGCTCTCTCAAACAGCAATCACGAAAAGAAAAGAATATGCAGTGTTGGGGGGAAAAATCAAAGGAAAGATAAACTGGGTGATTCTTTCATTATTCCCAGAGCCGTCCTTACCCATATGCACCGTTGCATAGGGCACCAGGAAATCTGGGGCACCACCTGCCTCTTCCTATCCCTGTTCTGTGGCTCTGCTTCCTCCCAAGAGGCTCTAATTAACTTAAAAGTGAAAAAGTTTGCTAGATCTATTAGCAGAACGTTGAACCTGTGAAAGAGCCATGCAAGGGGTAATGAAGCCATTCAACAGGCATTTGCCAATTCCAGGTATCTACTGTCAGTGTCTGAAGTTAGTGTGTTAGTTTACAGGGCCTTAATTTAAAAATTGTTTTAAAATACTTCATTAGTGTGTTGCTGAAGATTTAAAAATCATTGTGTCTCTTAAAAAATCTCTTAAAAAATCATTGTGTCCCCTGCTCCCAGCTGCCATCGGGCAAAGGGGCACCAGTTTAATGTTACTGTGTATAGCCTAAGGATGACCCTGATTATTCCCTCAAGTTAGATGAACTCATGGACTGTCAGTGCTCATTAAAAGTGCTGTCATATGGGTGGAAATGGGGTCAATATTGCATTTTATTAATATCAGCAGAACTGACTTAAATGGGGCCTGTGTGTTGTGTGGTCTTGCCTTAATCTTTGTATTCATGCCCGTCAGTGCGAAAGAAACTATTTGCAAGTGCAACCACAGTTAAGTTGTGGCCCTTGGCATGTGCTGTGAGTATCGGTGTGGCCCCCTGGGCTTCCAAAGTTGAGGAGCCCTGCTGTAGAGGTTCTTAGCTGTTGCTGTGGTGTAGTGCTACAGCATGGGACAGTGAACCATACTAGGTGTGTGGGTTACACTGGGCAGCCAACATCATTTTCCCGAGGGCTGGCGCTGGGGAATAATTTTTTTTAAAAGGGCTATTTAATTTCTAATTTCATTTTAACTCTGTAAAACAGGGTGGGGCTGGGAGGAGCCAGGGGAGCTATAATTAGGATGAAATGCTTTATTGTTCTCATTACATGGAAATTCTATCCAATGATCACAATTGTTAGAAGCGATGTTTGTATAGCAAGACGCGAGCTTTTGAGCTGCGCAAAGAATGTTTCAAAGTACTCTTCATTTTAACAGTGTGTATTAGCAATAGTATTTTGAAGACTGTTGCAGCTCAGTAAGCTATCAAAGTTATTTACTTCTCACACAGAAA